CTAGTTCTCCCAGAAGTTTGATTCCTGCAGCAATCCATGCATTGCAAAAAGTAGAACAAGCCATTCACAAAGTACAGGTTTTTCATGTAAACCCATCTTTACCCATATTTCTTATCCTATTTCCCCTACCGCATTAATATGGGAGAAACACAGCCCACTGGAGTGGCTTTTTTTTTACCATCTCATCAGACTTGTACCTTAACTCCTTATTATCTGTTTCTCACAGCTTTGATTATCTAAGGGCGGCACTGGTTGCAACAGTTGTTTGGAATTGACCCTCATTATATTGTTATTCCTTTCTCATTGCAGTAGTTCCAATGGTTAATGAGCTCTGTTGCTGCTTGGCAAGAAGCCTTTGCAGAATTTACTGGTCAAGTCTCTCTCCACTACCTCAGAATAAACTGTTACAATTTTTTCAGCATACTGCCATCATCTTCCCTAAGGATACTTCTTCAATTCCTTTATCTAATGCTTCCCTCATGTTTACCAGTGGTTCCAGCACTGGACTAGCAGCAGTAATTATTAATGGCCAACCTTTCTCTAGGTATTTTCAAGCCTCCTCTGCACAGCGTGTTGAAGTTCACACTGTTATTTATGCTTTTTCCTTATTACAGGACAGTCCTTTTAACTTATATTCGGACAGCCAATATTTGACCTTAGTTTTGCAGGATATTGAACAGCCCATACGTTCTTTTCTTTCACTTTTAAAATATGAGAACTTCCTTATCTAAGAAAGAGACTCAACATAAATTACAACTCCATTGTTTGCTTAAAGCAGCCGAGTGTAAAGTAACCAAACGGCAGCTTGTAAAACTGTTAACGATTATTAAACAACAATGTTCTTGGTATCCCAAGGAAGGAATCCCTGACAGAGAAATGTGGAAACTAATTGGTTATTCATTAATTATGCAATGGGTCTCATCAAGACTTCCCACCTAACAGTTTGGAATCTATATCAAGTCGTTCTGAGACCTACTCTAGACCTTAACAAAAAACAAAGACATGTTTGCGTCACTAAAAAAGGATAAAATTTAATCTTTCCCGGTGACTGAAAGGACTTTAATTGAACAAAATAAAGTAAAAGATGTTAATATTTCTTTACAATGTTGGTTTTGTTTAAACATGTTTTCTTTTCCTAACTGTGTATGCTTCTCTTCTTCACCAGAGACTCTGGGGCTTTATGAGAAATGCAGCCTTGGTGCCAACCAGACCTTCTTTTTGGGTCTGCTGCTTTTCTCTTGAAACTCCAAAAGTCTACAGCCTTATCTCTGTTTGCTCTCTGGTGCAACCTTAAGCTCGGGAACCCATTTAAAAACAAAAAACAAAAAAACTAAAATCAACCTGTTTTGTTACCTTATTTTCTCTAAAACAAGGTGAGGCCTCACATATAAATTTTCACATTTTTAAATAAAACAATTTAAATCTAACTGTACTTTTATACTAACAAGTTCTCTATTTTATCTTTTTATGTCTACATATATGTGTATATAAGTGTATGTCGTGTCTATCTGTTCATGTCTATATGTGTGTTTGTATTGTCTCCATGGTACCAAATTGGCTTATAATGCATGCTCATTAAATAAGTGTACTTTTCAAGTTCACATGACTTTAATTTTCCAAATTTGTTGATGCAATAGATATGTTTTCAAAATTTAATTTAGACCTTCTGCCTAAAGTTCTCTTTGGGTCAACACATTCGTCATATGTTTGGTACTTATTTTTCTTTAAGGGCTAAAAGCTATAAAAGAACTGTCTGCTGGGTTTCTCCCAAAGCCCTGCACATGCCTTGTTGTTAGCTTGTGTTTGGATTATGAATCAAACAGGATTATACGTCTTTGCTACAGGCTTTTTAATTATAAGCCTGACCTATAATAAAAAGTTTTATCTTAACTGTAAAACCTTGATTTATAACTTTTGCCTTTCTTTTAATTAAATAAATAAATAAGAGGGATATATGGAGGATGGATCTAAAATTCCTCTTTCCATACCTACATCCAAGGAAAATTGGCACATGGAATAGAAGCGCCTTCAGAAGGACTCCAACCTCGTCCAGGAATTCATATGCAGATTATAATGATGTATGGATTGGATGGGATAAAAAATAAAAGAACTGGTGCTCAACAAGCCCCCCAGGGCCGCCTTCCTGTGCAGATCAACACAGACAGCCTTTTGTCAAATACCCCCAACTGGCTGAAATGTTATTATCCCACTCCTATATTGCACCACCCTGTTGGGTTTTCTTCAGATATTGAGAAGGCATTAGGGGACTGGTCTTGTCATCACCTAGAATCCTGGTTGCCGTCCAACTGGGTGGTGCCCAGGGGTTGGGTGACTAGTATATGGTATACAACTCAGGGTATAGCCCATCCAAATTTGTGGAGACTGCTTGCTTCATTGAATGTTGTTACTGTACTAATCATAGACCAAGTTCAAAATCTTATGGTTTCCTATTGTCTATGCTCCTGTGTAGCTCCTCCCAATGTGCTACTTGTGGGAAATTTTGAAATAATGCCCCATGGAAATGGTTATGATACCTCCTGTAATCAATGTATTTTAACATCCTGTATCTCTTCCACTACTGGGAATAAACACAAAGAATGGAGATTAACGGTTTTAACAACTGTTTCAATTGCATCCCTTGTACACTGTACAGCAGATATTGTATTCGTTAATACTGTTTACAATTGCTTCTGTATTTGCCTTTTTGTGCTGTTCACTCTGCCTCTGCTGTAGCAACCAACAACTGCAGCAACACTATTACGGCTTCAGATGGGAGGTCCCAGGGTCTTAACCATCCAAAATACAGAAGAGGGAAATGTGAGGTACTAAATAGGAAGCTGACAAAGTCCTTGCTGTTCTGGGGAAGCCAGTAAGGCTGGCATCCCTTTTGTGTACTTTCCCCTTCTCCCTTCCCTTGAGGCCTGACCGTTGATGGTTCCCAGGACCCTGGAAGCTTTGTAAATGAGAAACTTATGTTCTTATTTTGCTGATAAATAGTTAGCTATGAATCTTCAAGTGCCATGGCAGCAGAAAAGGTTCTATAACAGCTTGGTACCAGACAGAAAAGATTTAATCAGTATGATTTGTTATTTTCACTGGCTTATAAAAAGGAACATAAAATAAACTAGGATGCCTAACAGGTCAGCAGACTGAAAGGTCCTACTGATCCCATAAAGTGTGTCTCTTCATTTCCCACCATCTACCCTTGGGGTACTGGTGAGCAACACTTCACTCCTACTGCTTTCTTTGGAACAGAAACTTTCATTTCAATGGCAGGCTCCAAGTAATGATATCTCTCATGAGACCCTATTAAGGGCATCTGTTAAACTTCTCTTGGTGCTGGCTGAAGATTGGTAATGGATCCTGATGCAAATGGATAGTTACCAGCTTTATATTTCTCAGATCCATGTTTTAAGATCTACGACAAGTCTTATTACTGAGGACCAAATTAATAGAATCCAAATCTGAAAAGTCTGATCGAGATGTTTGCATACTCTTCACACCTTCTTCTTCATTTGGAACAGCCACTTTAATTTCAATGATAAGCTTCAAGGGAGGATATCTCTCAGGAGACTCTATTAAGGGCATCTGTTCAACTTCTCTTGGTGCTGGCTGAAGGTTGATAATGGATCCTTATGATACAAATGGATACTTACCAACTTTATATTCCTCAGATTGATGTTACTCAGGTCTATGACAAGTCTTATTACTGAGGACCAAAATAATGGAATCCAAATCTAAAAAGTCTGATCGAGATGTT